ACCCAAATTCCAAGACCAACAAGAACTTCATAGGAACATGCTGCGCCTGGAATTGTCCCAGTAGTGAGAGCCGAAACCCTGAAGCCGTATGCACACCGTACCCGTAATCCTGATCCCTAGAAACTTGAAGTTCCCCCCAAACCCATATGGCATACCTAACACTCGAAACCCAAAGCCCGCACCCTCGGCGAAGTCCAGGCTGGGCCGCGTCACGCTTGTCAGGGGCCTTTGATGGGGTCTTCGCAAACGGCAGCGACCATCACGATGAGAGGTGGGCCAACTGGGTTGACGTTGGTGGATTTGTTTGGGGCTTCAGTCAGCAGTAGGGTTCTCTTTGAAGTCCCTATGTGGGCGAGGACCTTAGGATCAGGACAGCCTTCGTGTCTTCAGGCCTCGTGATCACAAGGTTTCAGGGATTGTTCCGCAGCCTGAAGGTCTTGGGTTTTTCGGGTTTGGGCTGGCCTAGGGGTTAGAGAGTCTGCCTGTATTCTGGAAGTCAAAGTCCAAGTGACTACACTGTATTACAGAAATCTTAGTGCATAGAGGTCCGAGAGTTTCTAGGCTTGCGGGTTACGGCTTGATGGGGCACAGCTGCTCTGCTACATGTATCAATGTATCAGGCGGTCGAAGTCCGAAGCCAGTTCCCTTTCGGGGGCAGCTATGAAACCCACACCGCCAGACTCTATGGCATGCTATCTTGGACCCTTGCAAATATGTCGGCGTTGATCACTGGGTTCGATTGCTGGCCCATGAGATATCTGCATATTTCTGGCCCACCTTCCACATGCAATGCACAACACTGTGCTGGCAGCTTTTCCGCGCATGACCGATCAACTGCAGATTTCTGGCCCGCGTTCTACATCCAATTCAATGCAACAGACTGGCAGATTCTCCCCGTGCATGACAGAGGCGAGAGAGAGACTTGTCTTCTTCTTGATGATTTCCCCGGAACTAAACCCAACTCCCCGCAGCCAGGACTCTGAGCCCTTGACACCTTAATGTAAGCCCGACCCCAAAGCCTCAACACCTAGATAGCCACGGTGTAAATCCTTATATGCTCAGACCACGTGCCGCTTCGGAGATAGATCGCAAGCGCGGGACCCAGACGAGCTGGGATTTCGTAGGAGCCGTATATATGGCTCTGCCGTTTTTGGACCTGTTGTGTATTGGGTTCAGATTCACGTCTCGCTTGGTGCGTCCATGTCGGATGCACTGGCGCCGGACGTGACAAGGCGAGCGTAAGTAAAGCCTTCAACCCAAAAGCTTGAAAAAGCCGGAACCTCAAAACTGCTAGTCTAGCAGGGCTGAGATGGGCTGAGTGCGAGAGTCAACACCTGCAGCTCTGGAGCCCCAAAACTCCCACCTCAAGACTCTACAACAATCGCACCACATTTCTTCACAAGAGATCTAAAACCTTCGAAGATTCCTTTCGAAAGCGTTTCCAAGGGAGGTGCGTCGCTCTTCGGAGCCGATGCCCAACCGACCACCGAAGTCCTCGGCGCCGCCGTCGCCGTCGCTGACAGCCACAGGTGGAGCAAGGCCTTCAGGGTGGAATGAAGTGTTTGAGGCTAGGGCTTGGGCTCAGGGTCTCTGACGCGTCGGCTTTAGGGACTTTGAGCGATAGATGGAGAGGACCACTTCTTCAAGCGCCTGACTCTCGCTCGAGAGGATGGCCAGGTCTACACTTCATGCGCTGGGGGCTCCAAATGCAACATGTTGCATCTTTTCAATACAACAAAGCAGCAGGATCACAAAGGGGAGGGATGGAGATCGATTTGTAGGTCACCGCACAGACAGATTCCGAAAATCAGACGGACGTGCGTGATGAAGGGAGTGTGGACGAAAGTGTTGCAGCTGGAGATCCAGGTGGAAAGACGCACAAATCCGAGAATTAGATTGATTGTAACAAAGATGGGCTATGCTGCAGCTCGAATTCAGGCACCCTGCCGGTTCTGCAGTGTATAGAAGCTTGCCGAACCGATGTCCATATCCCTGTGTGTAATCCTGCGCACCTCTGCGCACTAGAAAGTTCTTGGCCAAAGTACATCGAAGGCAATCAAAGGCAATGACACGACATGACCCTTCCCCAAGCCGCTCATCATGACGATAATCGCATGATCTCTGTTCTCAACCGTGTCTTCAGGCAACTTAGTTTTCCTGCCGAGAAGGAGTCCCCTGTGCCGTGGGGGACCTGGCTGAGATCTTCTGTCTCCAAACGGTTTTGGGAAAGCGCGGCCATTGCAGACTCCGGTTTTGTGCCCTTTCTGATTCTCAACATCTCTCACACCTCGGCCGGCCACCACCGTTGCAACGACCTGAACTGCAACAGAGTGCATACCAGTCGATACCACCACCATAGCTACTGCTACTGTGCTGCTAAACCCACTCCTAGTACTAGTACTCCTACTGCCATGGCTACACTACTACTGCTACTACTACTACTCCTCCTGCTGCCGCTGCTGCTAGCACCAGCAGCACTTCCACTCCCCCTTCCACTTCCACCACCTACTCCCGACTATCCTTTATTAAGTAATCACATACTGTTTCGATTGTTTTACGCCACCACAAAGAATTTGCGACGCCCGCTTGCTGCTGTTAGCCTTCCGAATGTTTCCAGACTGTTGCAATCAGGTTTGCATTGCTTTGGCCCAGAATGTTGCTGTCTCCAGCGTTCGTTGCTTCCAGCACGTGCCGAAGTTCCACCACGATTGCCGAAAGATGGAGACTTTTCGGCCAACGTACAGTCTGTCCCAAGCCCGCGTCACTGCCAATCCAAAGCCTTGCTTTGCCGAGCAAACCCAACTATAAACTTCAAACTACACACCCTCAGCCAAAGCCCGAAGCCCCGAAACCTAATGGAGCCTTGGAAACCTCAGCCAATCCTCCCGAAACCTGTAACACTGCCCAAAAACACCATTAGTGTCAGTGGCGAACCATGCTGAACCTTTCAGTTTTCAACCCGCGGTTTGGCCCGCAAAGGACGCAGAGGCGGCCCTCGGATCTAGGCACGAGTGCAAGCAAGCCCCGCGATTCGGATGTCGGGAAGTCTCACTTGTCGGTTCGACCATGGCCGACCAATGATTTGCAGCTTCTAGTCTTCTAGGCTGACTTTTGCTGGAACGCTCGCCAACGTTCGGTCGTGCATGCGGGCGCCCGTTTGTGGAGGAATTTCGCAAGTTTGTAAGGCGTGAAGCTCCAGGTTCAGACTGGGATTCACGCCGCGACTTGCAAGCAAGAGCCGAGAAGGAGCCAAGGGTTGACAGGATTGTCTAGCCAGAGCCTCGGAGGCATAGGAACAAAAGGAGTACTGGGCCCTGCTTGTTCTGAAATCATTTTCACATCGAAATCACAAACCCGAAACAAGAAAGCCAGTATTCAGACCCTTCAAATCATCGCTCTGCTGAAATCCCCTTGCAGACGATGACCTGACGGCACCTGGCGATGCCGGGGGACTCTAGCTTGTTGTTCTTGGAGTTTCGATTTGGAGCTAAGGTGCGATTCCTCTGCGGGTTTTCAAGATTTCCGAATGCCTGGGGGTGATCCGGATGCAGAATCATGTGGGGCTACGACTTTAAGCTGCAGGTGTTCATGAGGACGACTACGAGTGAGAGGGAAGCGGTGCTGGGTTTGGCTTCATGGAACGCAGGCAGATGTAGGCCTCAGGCATGTATCGGACTTTATTCTAGCCTGGATTGCTGCTGGAAGCTTTTGGAGACTTGCACTTATTCACAGGGTTTGAGTGCTGCTGAGGCCATACTGCAGCCACCAGCTGCTCCTGTCCCACTGGTACGGAGGCGGGACCTTACGGTGGATGTCGGCGGTTCAGAGCTGTGCTTTGTCACTACTTCTACCAGTCCGGTTGTTTTTTGTTGTTGCCGTTGCTGCCGGCGCTAGTTTTGCAAACGTCTGGCAATCTAGATCTTAGTTTGGCTTTGTCTCTCCGTCACAGACAGGCAAAGGCTGGCTGTGCTAGTTCAGGACACCCCAAGAATATCTTATCATCCATGTGTTTATGTCCTTCTTGGCCGTGGATGTCGGCTGGCCTCCTTTTCCAAATCTACCATGTTTGGAAGCAGTTCTGGTGAATGGACCATCTGTGTGCGGCAACACATTCTATGAGACCGCTCTACACACAAAACCCTGAAGAGCCAGTCCCTGCATGCTTCGGAACTACCGGGGGTCCCACATGGACCCGGTGTTGATGCAAAACGATCCTTGTAGCCTTATTCATCACAAGGACCCTGAGTTTAATTGGGTGTCCCTGGTTTTATGAGCTCTCCCTTCACCCCTAACCCGAGGACACTGGGCTGAAAGGAATCGAAGCTTCTAAAAAGCCCAGGCCACGCAAGCAATCGGAAGGTACCGATGCCAGGCCTCAGTTCGGGCACTTCTGAGGATTTTGGGTGCACGGTCTGAAATTTGGGGTTTGGGGCTTGTGAAACTTCAGGTTGCGTGGTTGGGGTCTTGGGCTGACTTGGATTGGGATTCATGTTGAGCCAAGCTGAACGCTTGGTATTTGCCAATCCTTGCTTCACCCCCTGAACCCAGACACAAATTGCCTGACCTTCAGTGATCGGGATAGTCATACCTTATGCTAGCCTCGACGAGGCAGCTCTGTCTCCAAAAAGCCTTTTCGGGGCTTTTGTGCGAAGGGCTTCGGATCTGGTGAGGGTCAACTGATGGTGTCTGCGTTGTGCAGTGCAGAATTTGGGAGGCAGAGTGCAAGTTGCGGGAATTTCGGTCTTGTTGCCAGGTAGGCTTAGAACGAGGATGCCAGTTTCGCGGGTTGGGCAGATTTGTGAAAAAGCGAGTCTTGTCGTCCTCAAACCCTTGGCTTCGCTCGATGGCTCAAGAACTGGCAGGCTGAACAACCCTTCCTCTGCCGCTTTAATATTTTCCGAGACGGAATGCAAAAGGAAATGTGGCCTGCCCTTCAGACGGCTTTCTTCCTGTCTGGCATGCAAGATGACGCATGTAGCATGCACTTGCTGCAGACAGCGATGACCAGAAGAGCTGCAGAAGTGCCCTGGTCCCAGCTGCAACACGACGCAGACATCCGCAGGAGTGACCTGCGCCTCCGCCTGGAGAATTCCCAGCTCAAGGGCGCCCTTTCCAGGGAGCTTCTTCAACTGTCCACGTCGCTTCATGACAGGCCCAGCAGCTTCAGCTTGCACGGCATCGACTTCGGGGAGCCTCTACCGTTGACGCTTCTTGTTACCTCAACCTTGGCGTGCATCTACATTCTGATGTATTTAAAGCACCTTTTTGTTTTCTTCTTGCGCAAGAGGCACATCGAGACGAGCAACCGTCGGTGGATACATGTCAAAGAGCGCGAGCGTCCTCCTGATTTTGCCAACTGCAAGAGGGAGATGACCGAGAGGTTTTGCTGCAACACGACGCATAAGACCGTCGTTCGACTATTCCTGATCGGTATAGCAGCAACTGCATGCGGATCCTACATGCTACGTGAGGGCTGTTTTGACTCGGTCAAAGATAGGCTATACTTGGCCATGGTCATCTTGATGATCCTGCAAGTCATCCTTGCAGCGGTTTGGACTTACATTGAAAATCGTCTGAAGCCTTTCTGGCGCCTATACGAAATCATCTGGCAGCTTCAGGCAGCTGTCAAATCTGGGCCCTCGGCAGTCCTTAGGTGCTTGCAGTCCTTCAGACAGCCTCGTTTGCCTAGTGAACCAACCGACCTCCGCTAGCCTCAGGCTCCATCAGCAAATCAATCGATAACGGCGGTAGCAATCTCAATGTTTATAAGAGCAAGAGAAAGTGTGAGGTCATGATGAAAGCTGTTAACAAACACAGTGTCTATGTGTGCGAATATGCACGCACGAAAACATGCATGTGCATACATACATGCATACGCGCGTACACACATACATACTTGCGTACGCAGGTAGGTAGGTAGGTATAGGTAGGTATGAATGTATGCATGCATGTATATATTTTTCGGTACGATACATGTAGATAGGTAGATAGATAGATGTAAATGCAGATACAGACATAGATGCGGATACTGGTACAGATGCAGATGGAGAGATACAATGACAGATAGAGAAAGACAGGGAAATAGACAGAGACAGGCACAAAGAGATAAACAACAAGCGGGCGAGCTGTGATGGTAGTATGTTGAAGACAAGATAGGTTCAGCTTCCCCGTAGCAGTTATGATATCGGGAGGACTGTCGCATAATAAGTGCTGGTGATACGAAGAGCAAGACAGATCATCAGCGAGTGCAACTATGGAAGCATTGATGAAGCCCTGCTGGAACGAGCCTTATTGCTGGCAGGAGGCTTTGCCATTTTTTCGGGTAAGTGGGTCTGCTACACACTGCGGAGGAGGAGAATGCTACTGCGGCGGAAGGTAGCCCGAGCCTAGTTCCCATATGAGGCCAGGCTTCCATGGGATGCGGACCTTTCACCCAAAACGGCGCTGGCAACGATTGTGTGGCACACTAATCAGTGGTCATGTAATTACACTGGTCGAACCCACAAGCAACCCGAACCTCGCACATCAGCAGTTGTAAGGGCCTAGCTATTGCTGTCCAAGACTTCCCATCTACGATACTGCAATACTGGTTTCTGGCTCAAGTTGTGAGGGTCTGGTGCTGGCTTCGCGACCTTTGGTTTGCCGGCTTTTCCGGATCTGCGCAGTCAACACCGAGACCTAGAATGTTGAAATCCTAGAAGCCAACGCCGCCGCAGCCCATAACATGAACCCCGAAAGTTGTTGTAAGACTTTGACGTCCCCCGGACCCAGAACTACGCCGCCCTGACCTTGGCTATGGCAGCCCAGCTAAGCGAGGTTCAAGATCTTCAGGGCTTTAGTGATGCCGGTCGGATGCATCGCCGAACCTCGAGAATTCGGGAGCCCTCCAACCCAAAACGCACCAGCAGAAACATCCGAAGCTGTCAACCCCAAGGACCCTAAAACTAGTGAAAGCCCGAGAGCCATTTGCCAGTTTCTTGTCGCCGGCCATCTCAGAGATCTCGGTCTGCACCAGCCAGTCTCAACCAAGGCAGCCGGGAGCCTGCGTGTTGGTTTTGAATGGTTTTGGGCTCGAGTAGTACAGGCTTGAAGGCAGTTTGAGTAGCTGATCCTTCGGATATAGGCATGATATAGGCAGGAATGTGGACACATGTCACATGTCTTAGTAGCCTCCGGGTTTAGGTAGATTAGGGATGCGCACGGTTGGAATCGATTGGGTGGCTGTTCCAAGAATGGTAGCTCGGTTTCTGGGCGCTTAGCATCGACATACCTGAATGAAACTTAGCATCCGACAGCATCCAGCGCCGAAATGGCCCATGACAACTAGTACTTGCTGCGGCTGCTAGTGACAGTGCGATAGCTACTCCTGTATCAGCTGCGACTGGCCAAATCTTTGCACAAGTGGCCACCCGGACAATGTTTGCCAGAATAGCAATAGACTGCTGCTGCTGCTGCAGCTGCTGCTGCTGCATGGGTTGCTTGTGCGCATGGACATGACAGACGTCATCTCTTCTGTCCCCATGATCTGGATCAGGTTTCCAGGTCTTTTCAGCAGCGGCGTCCTTCCGGTCTTTCTGACATGTGAGCTCGGTATGGTGGAGAATCATGTGCGCAGGATCTGCAGATGCCTGGTTCCTAACTCTTGTTAGTCCCAATTTCCCAAAATCTTCGAGTATTGAGTTTAGGGCTCGTGTCTAAAACGCAGCTTGTTGATGCTTGGAGCCATTGTCAAGAGTCGAGCGTCAAAAAAGAACTGCAAAAGACGAACTCTCCAGCTGACGTAGTTGCAACGATAGCAAAACTTACGGCTATCTGGTTCTTCAGTTGATTGCTTCTGCTTGGGTTTTGAGAGATTTTCCATGATGAGTAGCCGACAGCTCCAGGCGTTTCGCTTTCCTGAAGATGCCTGGGGGGTCTAAGCTACGTCAAATTGCAGTTGCTTTTCCGAGGTACTCGCACTCTTGTGAGTCCACACAGGAAGCTGACAGCGATTAACGCCAAAAGGCCTTATCCCAATTTGAACTGGGGCTCATAATTCGAGATGTAGTGGCAGGCTTACCCTTACTGCTGCTCCCTCTGAGCACTGACTAAGACACCAAACAGAATCCATTGCCAGGCCCCAGCTGTGGACCACATGTGCTTTCCTGAGAAGGGCGTGGTTGCTTTGGGTTCATGAGATTTCAGGATCTCTGGTGTGATGCAGAGGTTGTGTACCCGAGCGGCAACTTCCTGCCGAAAAGTTAAGTTTCGTCTATGACAATTCCTGCACTTGCACCTTTTCTCGGTCTTCGGTCCTGTTAGATCAGCTTTTAGGATGTTGTGTGTGTGAGTGTGTGCAAGTTGTACGGTGATTCCTTGTCTTGCCTGAGGCTCAAACGCTGTAGCCGCTATAGTTTCTGCGTGCGTCTTTTGTTCATCTCGTTATCGTGTCGGTTTGGGCGGTGGTGGTGGGCGAATCTTGGAATCGTCGCTCAATTTCGACATGTCACTTCTTATGGCACCCGTTGTTGCCATGCGTGAACCAAGGATGGCAGAAAACAGTATAGTGCAAGCAACAAGCAACGGCACTAGGAATGCTACAGTGCTCTTGCGGTCTCCAGATTCGGTACTAGCAGCCAGTGTGGTGTGTAGTGAAGATCGGTGCATACAGATGGCCGACGGAGGGGAAGTACGTTTTGTTTCCAGCGAAGCACCACATCATCAGCTTTGTACATGGCGCGAGCTCTGTGTAGTTAAGGTTTCACTATTAGTGTCGGCACGTGGTCGCGACGGAGAGCATCCAGTGGCGTTTTGTGTTCACGCTTCATGGCGAACAAGTTTTGCAACAAAGCTCCTCCACGTGCTCATTTGTCAAGCTCAACGTGAAGTTGCACACAGCTGCCAGGGATTCTTCCTATCCGTTGAAGCAGGCGCGTCTTTGATTTGTTGTGCTTGTGTCGCGCAGTCAATCCATTGCCAGGGAGTGGGCATGCTCTCGACAGTGTTTGGCAATGCTGTCGGATGCTATGAGTTTTCCTCAAAACCCTCTGCGCACTACTATGCCCTGTGGCTCCGAAGCCTTGGATTCCGGTCAAGTTGCAGTAGCATTGTGGCACCAAAAGCATGACAAGCTAACCGTGTATATGACAATATGGAATGGGGCGACGAGACGCGAGTCCGCGCTTTTCCGTCTTTCAGGAGATCTTTGGTTTGGAACCTTCTCGAAGGGCTCGGGCCTTGGCACGCATGGGTTGGTCTCAATGGGTGGTGGTTCGGATGGCGGGTGTAGTAGGGTTTAGACTTTAGGTATACCTTGGTAGGTACACGGTCCCTATAGGATATGTTCATCATCGTCAGTAGCTATGACAGACGCGACACCCAAGAGCCAGAAAGATCTTGGGTCTGCGAGCATAGGGTTTCGTGTCTACCCTTTGGGGCTTGGGTTTCGGGCACGGGATCCGAAGATCGCGCATGCCCAGGATCGTTTAGATCTGAAGAGCCCCAAAGCTCAAACCAGTGGCGTTGGAAATTCCCGATCCCAACTCGACCAAAAACCAACAGGTCCTGAACTAAGTTCCATGTGAATCTTTGTAAGTGTACATATATGGAGGGAGGGAGGGAGGGAGCGAGAGCCGTGTGTGAGTGTGTGTCTGTGTCAGGCCGACAAAGGCTCGGCAGATGGGCTGAGGGCATCGCCGCACTGAGCTCGGGCCGATTGAAACCATGGGAGTTGGTGTAGGGATCGGGTTTTAGGCTAGCGGCTATCGCTTGAGGACGTCTAGATCTTTCATGCAACGGGGTTGAGGGCTTTGGTTTGGTGTTCAGGGCATGGCTTTATTCCATGAGGGAAAGCAGTGTTTGTAGCTTTGGCGCAAGGTTCAGGATTCAGGGTTTGCATTTGTAGCACTGAGGAATCAGGGTCCAGCTCAGGACGGGCTGAGCGTGGAACGTTTGCCTTTTCGGCGCATTTTCTGTTACAGAATTTCGAGAAGGGTCAAGGTGTCCTGTTTTGTTGTGATTCCTGATGTTTGCAGTTACTGTTCGGCGTGTCAGAGCCCATACCAGCAAGCCGCCATAACCTGCAAGGCTTGACCTTGAGGTGCAGATGACAATGCCTGGTTCCCCGTCTGGTCATAGCTTTAAACATGCTGAGCGACAGGCTGGGTTGAACATTAGAGCCTCAGGAGCTTACATACTTCTGAGTGTGTCCATCTGGCACCAAGAATCACAGCAGCTATAGCCAAAAGCACGGCGGCAACAAGTCGACTAAGCGCGCTCGCATAAATGCAAGTATGGCCGTGGCTATGACGACGACCGTGATGGCACTCATGATCATATCCACAGCGATGGTCATCAGCGATGAGGCTGGTGGTGATTTTGCGATGGACGGGATGGCGGCGATGATGACAATGACTCCCAGAATGATTGAAGATGGTGAGACTGATGATGAGCGATGATGATGATGATGACGCTGACGATGATGATGATGATGGTGATGATGATACTGCTGATAACTGATGATGCTGATGGTGGTGGCGGTGTTGGTGGTGACGATGCTGATGTCTTGCCATGTCGTGATGGTGATGATAGCGACGACGATGACCATTCTTGACCAATGACACTGATGCTGTTTTGTCGGCGAAGATGAATGTAATATGTCGTTGACACGCTGCTAGCCATCACCAACGAGGATGCTAGCGCAAAACGTATGGACAACTCGTGCGTTTCGTGC